CACTGAGGGTTGCGATCCATTGCCGGACATGGAAAAAGACAAAAAAAAAAAAAAAAAAGAAGTTCCCAGCCAGGCTAGAACCCTGACAGGACAGCTAAGGGTGGGGTTCTCCAGGAGAGATGCACTGCTAACAGTGTGAGAGGTGGGACCTTCAGAGGTGATAAGGTCATGAGGGCTCCACTTTCCTGAGAAGATTAATTCCATTATCATTGGAGTGGGATCCTGGGATCTGAGCTCGGTCTCCTTTCTGTCTCGTGCTCTTGTTTGCCCTTCTGCTTTCCACCAGGGGATGACACAGCACAAAGGCCCTCGCCAGATGCTTGCGCCATGCTCTTGGACTTCACAGCCTCCAGAACTGTGAGCCAAATAAATTCTCTTCATTACAAATTATCCAGTCTCAGGTATTCTGTTATAGCAGCAGAGAACAGACTAAGGCACCAGTCGAGGACCTTGCACAGTCTATCAGGATTTCATCGCCCCTGGTCAGGAAGGAAGTGCTAGTTATAGAGCAAGGCAAGAATTGGGTTACTGAGAGGCACTGGGTACCAAGCCCCTGTCTAGTTGGACTCTGTCCTGATGGCACTCTTTCCAGACCCTGGGAAGGGAGATGAAAGGTGTCCAAAAATTTTCTCTGTCATCCCCACAGCCTGCCCATTAAAGCCCTGAAACTCACAGCTTCTGCCCTCTGGTTTGATGAGGACTCTCCTTTGCTCCTGTTTCGTTACCTCCCTTGCAGGAGGGCGTGGCCTCTGCTATGTAGCTGTCTGTACCACAGGGAAGTCTCCCATCCCTAGTGGAGCAGCTCTGTACCTGTGAGCATTAGTAAGTGCTCACTGCCCACTGAATTCTGCCCTCAGTTCCTTGGCTCCCCCTCTGGAGCTGCTGATTTTGAGGGCCGGGGACCATTTCCAGTAATGCTGGCATATTCCACAGACAGAAGTGGGTCAGGCGTTGGCTTCAAGTTGGGGTTGGTGTTGGCATAGATGGAGTCCTCATGGCTGAATTGGTTTAGGTGTATGAGTGAGGCATAACAGATAGCCTCAGTGTCCTCATCAGAGACCATCGGCTGACTGAAGCCCTGGGAATCAAAGAAGACAAGATGTCCATTGTATAGGTCACGGCTACAGTGGTCAGTGGCCCTTTTAGGTGCTGAAAGCTGGGTGGAGGGCAGGGACAGGGAAAAGATGTGGGACAAGATATTGATTCTGCAGAACCTCTGGGAATGAATAGCTGGAAAAAGTTGCTGCTAAAGGCAATGAGGTCGCCATCACCAAACATGTTTAAGAATGGGCTAGAGAAGGCTGCACAGTGTGGTCCATGGACCAGCAGCACAAACGTCACCTGGAAGCTTGCTAAAACTGCATAGTCAGGCTTCACCCTGGACCTATTAAAGCCTCAAGGGGTGGAGCCCAGAAACTCTCAAAGTGAGTTTTATGCACACTCAGGTTTGAGTAGCACTGAGCTAGAAGAGCACTTGGTAGGGGTGTTATTTGTAGAGTTGACTCCAGCATTACACAGAGGGTTGGCCCAGATGACTTTAGATCTTCCCAGTCCTGTGATTCTGTGATTCCAAGAGTCTTGGATCTTTAGACCCACCCAAGACAAACTGCCCAGTCCCCAGCCCCTGCTGAGAGAGTGTCTTAGGGAGCCTTTTCATTTGCCATGTGACACCCTTCTTCACAGCTGATTGGGCCAGTGGCAGCCAACCCATGGGCTGGCTCATGACCTTTAAAAAAAAAAAAAAAAAAAAAAAACCAGCTGTCTCCATGGGGCTAATGGTGAAAAGCTGGATTAGCCAACTTCTCTCACTCTAAGGGATTTGATTGGGAAATGCGGGGAGAGGAAGCGTGTAGATAGGCCACGAGGCAGCGGGGGCAGTCACCAGTGTGAGTCCAGATTTCGAGTAAATAGAAACTATGAGTAAGAGCAGCCAGGAAGTTAAAAAAAAAAACAGTAATAACAAAGGCACCCAGGAAAGCTGTGATTCTGTGAGTGCAGGGGAAGAGTCCTTCCTACTCACTGTGGGCTCCTTCTGTGCTGCAATGTCGTCATAGACGTGGTGGGATCCATCCTCACCTCCAAAGAAAACAGTCAAAGTTAGGGCAGCTTCTCCCTACCAGATCCTTCCCAGCTTCTATGGAAATCAGGGGGAGGGGCGGGGGGGTCCTGGCTGGGCAGAAGGGACCCTGATGGGGAGATGCCTCAGCTTGGTCAGGGCACACATTTCTGCCTAGGGAGGTCGCAAGAGCCCAGCACAGAGCACTGCTCAAGGATGCTAAGGAGAAAAACAACTGTCTGCCGATCGTTAACTTGCATAGTAAAGTTAATTAAGAATTCCAGGTCACTGAAAATTCCAAATTTAAACTTCAAATTCAGGTATAATCTATTTGCTGATGAAGTTATGTTTAGCAATGTCTTTCAAACTTTTCGAACTAGGAACCCCAATTCAAATCACAATTTACCTACATAAACAAATACACACAGTCTCTCACACCTACACAAACTCACGCACACGCGCTCCTGAAAAAAATGAAAAAATGTGCAAAGCATTTTGATACTTTGCTGTTCTATTTCATTTTATAAAGCATGCTATTGTGGCCCACTAAATTGATTTTACACAGTTTAAATAATATGTATATGAAATTTTATAAGCTACTCCTCCCTTAGGATTTTTATAGCTTGAAAAATTAAAACAAATGAGGGCCAGTGTGGCTCTGACCCACTCACATATTTCGGTCATGTTGTCAACAGAAACATCTTGAGGATATATGGTTAATAAGCACATCGTACATATGGACCCAACAAAACAACCCATGAAAAACAGCAAGAAAAGAGTCAGGATTCATCAAAAGGGACCAATCTGATAAACCTTGCACAAAATGCTGTAGATTTCACGTGTGATTAATGCTAAAAACTTTGAAGATTAAAAAGTCCTTGAAGTGCTTTTAAGACAAAAGTGGTAAATGAAAGCAACAACTTAAAAGCAATACCATTAACCAGAAAGTTCTTTAGATAAATTTAAGAAAAATCCTTAACGAAAAAATTAAAAAGGCAAAATTTATGATCCAAAATAGATATGAGCACACCTAGATTTAGGCAAATTGTTGCTGAGTTGCACTGGGTTCAGGTGAGGTGACCTCGAGCCCCTGCAGAGAACTGGGCCACCCTGGGGACCACCTGCCGCTCTGGCAACGGGGAGGGAGACATGAGGGCTCCTGGAGATGCTGGCCATTTCACCTCTCGGGCTCAGTTTCCCTGAGGGTAAAATGAGCGTAGTAAGCCTTGTCCCGTGGCTCTCGGGCTGCCTTAGATATGGCTAAACACTCGGTCGTCCTCCCAGGCCAGCGACAGGGGGCTCACCTTTCCCGGCTCTTCCTCGGGCTTTCCTGAGGTACAGGGCCATGAGGAGGGCAAGCGCCAGCAGCAGCAGGGCGGCCACCACCACGCCAGGGATGATGAACTTCCAGTGGCTGGGGGGGCTTTGGAAGAAGGACCAGACAGGTGACGAAAGTCAGAGTTCCGCCCAGTGTCCTGCCTGGAAAGCCACCCCTCTCCTGACGCACCAGGCTGTCCCACCCCAGGTCTCCCCTGAGGTGCCCTTCTCTCGGCTGACCAACAGGGAGCCTGGCACTGGGCTAGGCCCTTCAAATCCACAATCTCATTTAACCTTCACAACAACCCTGTAAGATAGTGATTCCACACTGGGAGCAGTTGTGTCCCCCAAGGCACACCTGTCAATGTCTGGAGACATCTTTAGTTGTCACATATGAGTGTTCAGGGGGAAATCTGTGCTACTGACATCTAATTAGTAAGGGCCAGGGATGCTGCTAAACATCGTACAGTGCACAGGACAGCCCCCTACAACAGAGAATTATCTGGCTCCAAATGTCAACACACTTCTATTACAAAAACCCTGATGTTATCGGCCCCATTTTGCAGATGAAGAAACTGAGGCTCAGGTGAAGAGAACTGAGCTGACCTATCTGACCTCATCCCTTCCCCTGAGAGCTGGGCATCTGTGGCAGTGTAGTTGTTGGGGGCATTTGGCACAGTCAACAGAGAGTGAGAGGAAATGGAGGGCTGAGAGGACGGGGTAGGGATGTCATTGACAGTACCTGTCAATGACAGGGCTGGTGGCAGAGGCCAGGGCTGGTGTTCTGGTGCTCCTCGGGGCAGGTCGAGTTGAAGCTGT